CCGGTATTTGGAGAATAAAGAACTAAATAAAGGAAAAGAAAGAGACTTACTAATCTGGGGTGTTTTTCATTCTAATTTTGAACAGACTGCGGTTAAATTTCCCAAATTCTTCACTTGAGTTGGGTAGACCGCAAAACTTTTAGTCCTATTCAATGCAGATTGGACAGTGACCAAAAAAAGTCTGCTGCTTTAATATTAGAGATTTTGCGGAGAAGGGGAGAACCTCCCAAATTCCGTACTGTATAATGTATTGGGATTAAAAAATATACATATATATTTTGACTATTCAATACTTTCTATTTATTTAAGCCATTCCGAATATTATTCCTTAGAAAGCTAATCTGTGTAAAAATACACCCATTTTTGGAAGTTTATCTACACTTCAGCAGCTACTGCAACTATATTATAAATATTCATACATATGCTCATAATATAAGTATAACGATCATAATAAACATGAATATGAACTGACCACGCAGAACGAGAATGCAAATTATTAAAATCTTGATAGAAATTCAAACGTGTGTAGTATTTGGGTGGGGGGAAAAGAATACCGAATGTACCGGAATTTTCTACGGTTTTCGCAATTCTTTGACCAATAGAACGACGTGCACCTGTACGTACTCTCGCACGCACCATAGGTTATGTTAATGCAGAGAAAAGGAGAAAAGCTATTTCTGGGAGTATGATTCACCATCCGACGTTCCATATAAGGAAGAAAAGTTGTTTATTTAGTTTCGGCTTTGGTACGGAGGAAAAATGCGCGTTCATTAAAAAAAGCACTAAAAGCAAAAAATAAGCACTAAAAACAAAAAAATAAGGGCTTTAAAGAAAAAGTAAGCACCTATAAGGGCCTTTATATTTTATTTTCAAATATAAGGACTTATAAGCACTTGTAAGGACTGCTACGAACCCTGTTTTATCATATTCGGTTAGTAAATTAATTGATATAATGTTATTAATGTTACTACTTAGCTACCTATGCTTTCACTGGAAACCCTTTAAGAACATATTATAAAAGAAAAATTATTTTTGTTCTTTTTTTTAAGTTCCTCTATGCATTATAATATTAACAAATAAAGCAATATTTGCGTTATTGCTGCCTTACAAGTACTTATACAATAACATAAGCACTGTAACACAGCAACAACGATTAAATGCCTTCTTACATAACAACCCCAATTAAAACTACTAACTAAAAACAGCAAATAAATTTCCCAAAATGTAGACTTTTCTAGTATGTTGTAAAGTAAGCTTTAAAATATTTTGGAAGAGCTAGTCAGAAATTATGTGAAAGGAAGTGACTCCAGTTTTCATTTTTACAAACTTTCGTATAATGTATCAATTTATTTTAAGTCATTTTAACCAGTAATTACAACTTAATATTGTTTTGAATTAAAAATAATGAATGGAAGCATTCACAATGCTTGAACACAGCATATTTAAAACAGTACAAGACTTTGCTAGGAACCTTTATTAGGAGGAAGCAACTGATTGAAAGCATGTGTTCAAATTATCACATCTGCCATTTATGTTGTGAGAAAAGGTCCATCTTTTGTATGTGTATGTTTAAAAACTTGTTTTTCTGTTCCGTAAGTAAAGCAGTCCCCCAGGGGTGTAATTACTCTCATGTGACAAATCTGAACTGCTGCAGTTCTTCAAAACCGCGAACTGAATGTACCTACGATGACTTTACTGAATGATCAAAGCCATCCGTTATTGTGAACCGTTTTAAGCTTTTCTTCAGAAATACAGAAGGTTACATGTACAGGTTTTTTACACATCTACAGCTATTATTTTTTAATCACTTGTCATTTAACATAAATGTAAAATCAATTAATATTTAGTCATTCCGGCGTGTAGCATGTCAAAAAAAATTTCTCTCCAGTCATATGTTTCATGGTTGAAGTTGCTATGTGCTTTAATTTAAGCTATGGAAGTTTAATTTATGCGATATCTGCAAGGATACGGCGATCATCTAAAGCATATGTGAAAATAAAAGTTATATAGTAAAATACTTGATCTGTAATACAAGAGATTAAATTTAAAAAGTCGTGTTTTGTCTAAAATAATGATGTCTTGCAAAATGTGTTTTGCTTTTCCATAATATGTGATGATTTTCTCTAGAGGGACAAGCTTTTTTTACTGCTTATACCTATGAATCTTGGGCATAAGGCTCAGATTTTATGATCAGATCTTGCTGACTAAAGAATGTAGTACTTTGATAAAGAAATTAAAATAAGGTTAGCTTTTATTATTTCGGTAATTCTAAATATTTTTTTAATTGGACTAATCCAAGTTTTATTCAAAATCATCTAATCAGATTGCTGACGAAGTTATCGAAAAGAAAACTGTATTTGATATGTTAATTAATTTAAAATATCATTGCAACTGTCTAGATAACATTCAGACTAAGACTAATACAATTTTAGAGGAAATTTATATGCATTTTAAATAATAAATAATACACATTCTTCTTTATTATGTGTCATTTGCCAACGACAACTTCACCATTCGCCAACAACATACATCCAAAAACAATAAAATAAACTAAACAAACTAAAAAAAAACTTTCATGCTTTTTTTCTTATTAGTATTTTGTTTTTATTATTTAGCTACCGCTATTTTTTAATTCAAATTTGTAACTCCTAGAAAAGTTGCAGGTTACATTTAGGAAACTCAGATGTTACGTTGTATAGTATTTTCATAATTTATGTAACAAAATATGGAAATTTTAACTCAACTCTTCGTTGCTGCTTGTAGTTTCATTGCGTTGAGCAAAGTAATATCTATTACGTAAAGCATGAGCACACAAGAAAATTTAACTTATTAAATTTTTTTCTAATAAAAATCACATTCATATCAATGTACATTAAAAGCATTGGATGATTTAAAATGCAATAGAACAAAACTTCAGCAAACCAGTATAAACGACGAGTATTGTTCAAAAAAGAATAATTAATTCACTATTATTATATTTACTATTAAATTAGTTTGTGTTTTATAAACCCCTATCAAGAATACGCTTATTATAACTTATTAAAATAGACTATTGATTTTCTAATTTTTATCTGACTTATTGCTTAAGTAATGTTATTCTTTATATGCAATTGCATGTAATTCAGGTTAACTGAATGCAGTACTATTCGGTTCGCGAGAATTAATTGAAAGTTTTAAACTTTCTGGTTTTATGCATATACATAATCATAAGTAAATTTATTTAAATAATGCAAATATTTTGAAATGCTATTTTTTAATTGAATTCACAAGCATTTTGCATATTTCTGAGCATTTAGTTTGAAATCTGAAGGATATTTTATGAAAATGTTATCTGTTTAAAGATAGTATTGGAAAATTTTGACATGCTGCTTATTTATTTAGTGTAGAATGTCCGCGTCACTTTGTCATATGTCTAAACACTTTCTTGGCGATAAAACGTAGCGGTATCAAACGAAGAAGAGCAACCCTCTTAAACTCCTACTGAGAGTTGTCATTTAGAGATCTCCAGGGTTCCAGAAATAAGGGGAGCACTGAGACATCTGCGCGGCCGCTTTAAGGCGTAGCACTTTCGAGGTCTTCACCACTGACCACCTAGAACCGTCAGTAATGCTTTCGAACACTTTTCCACTGACCGCCTGAAGCGTCGGTAACGCTTTAAGCGTTACCGAGCTAAAGCGTACCGACGCTTCTAGGCGGCAGTGGAAAAGTTAGCCTGTAAGAGTAAGAGGTAGGCCTTCTTGACCGCCTAAATCCGGTCATAACGCTCAGAGGGTTAATATCATTCATGACATAATTTTATCACAATTAATGGTGGAGAAAATCTTATTTTTAAAAGTTCATACATTGCATTCAAAAATCAACGAATTTCATTTCTGATTTTGTTTTAGATGGAATGCATTGTAAATTCTTTTAAATTAAAGAATACAAAAGTAATTTTAATTTCTTTTGTAAATGAAAGTTATTGAGGAAAATGGAAAATAACTCCTGTTGTAGTCATAATAGTAATTGTTTGGGTAATATATTTTATATATATGTATATAAGTCATATGCTATTAGGAAATTTTTGTGCTATCACCATAACTAATTTACCTTTAGCACAACTATAGCGCACTACGCAGATGGACTAGAATTTTCTTAAAACACACCTGGAAAAGTCAGGGAATTTCATTCTCCTGTTTGAGTGGCAACCCTGGCATTCATAGCGTAGTTCTGCCATTTAGAATCAAAAGAAAACAGTAGAAATTTATGATTACAGCTTTTGGTGTATAAAAATTAGCATTTTATAGGAGGTTAAAAAACTGACAAACATCCGGTATATAATATATACCCGTGCACTTCAAACGATTAATAAGTGCCATTATCTTAATGTCCATACTCCCACATAGCTAACCTGTGTTGCAAGATATTTCTCTGCCTTTGGAACATTGTACCTTTAAAATAATTTTCACAATTCATTTTATAAAAACAATAAAAGGAAATGAGTTCTACATAAGTCACAGATCATATTAATGAATGCTGATATTTTTTCAGTTGCAGATCATATTAATGAATGCATATTAATGAATGCTGATTTTATAGCTCTTTTTGAATAAATGCTTCACTCCTTGTGCAAAGACTGTATTAATTCCTTCATCTATTCATAAACATTACACATAACAGTTTATCACAATTCATATACATTGCAGTATATTTCTCCTGTAGGCGAAAGACTATTAGAGAAGAAATTACACCATCAGCTTTCTTCAGACTTAAAACTGATACCTTGTTAGAATTTTGCAATAAAAAATTTCATCTCTTACTCTACAAACTATTAAAACTATTTAAAAATTATATTTATAAAGAAAGCTAGCATAACACAAAGCTGTTCCTGCAAACTTCTAAAATTAAAGACCATTTTGCAAGTGTGCATCATATCAAACCTAAAAACATTAACATTCACATTGCATTTTACACCTTCTGCAACATTTGAAATATGTTTTAAAAAAAAACTGTGTACTAACATTTTACAAATTTCCAAAAAATTTGCAAATGAAGTCTTTTTTGTACCAACTCTCAGAACCTGTGGTGGCCGCATTATAAATCTACGCTTTTCTCCTGCAACCATATCAGGATTCTTTTCTCTCATAATGTTAAAGACCCTCACTAAAAGCTGAAACAGAAAATATCATTCATTAACGTTTTCTTAGTATAAAAAACTACAAAACTAATAAAATAATTTTTGGCTGCATGCACAACACAATAATAATAATGATAATAAGACTGACTTAAAAAATCAGTTTTCTTATGAAAAGGTTACATTACTTAGAAGAACAATAGCATTAGTAAGTCCTAAATTTTGATGTCTGAAAATTTAATTTAATGTTTTACACAAACAAATGTTTATTTATAATTTTTGTGATATTTAAAATCTTTGATTTTGCTTATGTTTCAATATGATAATAAATCAGCAAATTTTGGCTCTTCACTACTATTGGTACAGCACTTGTGCCAATTTTAACATGTCAAATTTCACAAATACAGATTACTGAATTTAAACAATGGATAAACAGAACGTTTACATGTTTTAATGTGTTACGAACTAAACCTGCATCATAAACTAGAAATTTGCCAATACAGTTAATAAGATTACCTTTGTGCTTGAATAATTAAATTATATTTTGTAGAAGATCATTGTGACATAAGATACAATAATTCTAACAGCAAATTAAAATTTAATCTACCCTCACCCCGGAAAAAGTGACCTAAATAAATGCCGTGCAAGTTAATAAAAAATAGTTTATTAAGAGCAAATATAAATAAAAAATTATATAAATGAATAAAATGTTCAATAAATGAGCACTAGCAGTTTCAAAAAGCTAAAATTTGGAGTAAATTTTTACAAGGACAAATAGAAAAGAAATGACGTTAAGCTTTCTCTTTTAGTTAAAAAAGCCACTGGTGTTTAATGCGTAGGATTACTAACAGAAATGTTAGGATGTTATAGAACAAATAATATATATACCTTTTTATTTATTACATTTATTCATTCAAAATTATCCCGTATAAAATTGGTCAAAGATATGACAAATAAGATCCATAATTTAAAATGTCTGCAGTTACATTCCTAGTAAATGTTTTATCTATAAATGAATTAATTGACAAGTATTAATTACTTGGCACCACACTGCGAATTAAATTATGTTTCATAAAATCAAATACCTTTTCGTTTCGTTTGATGTCTACATTGAAATTTCCCATTATAATAATAGGAACATCTGAAGGGATACTCAGTGAAATAAAATAAAATACAGCAAACACCACCCGAACATGCTGCCTGTCTACCAGATGACCTCCGCATGCAGTTGCGAATGCACGAGAAGCTTTAACGTCGCCAAAATTTTGCTATTTACTATGCATATACGTTTTACCTACTTTATTTATTTATTTTTTGCATGTGTGCATTTGCTAATATGCTCTTTCACCTACCTAATGATGTATTTAGACTGACTGTTATATTAGCAGTTTAAAAAATATAAGCATTTGTGTACATCTCAAAAAGTGTCTTAATTTTTTCTTTCCCATCACACCATTATGGAGGAAGGTAATCCCACATTAAAAAAAGAATTAAATCTCTCCTAATTGCTATTGCTTTAAATACATTTCATTAAGTACATATTCATTTAAATCACTTCCGTTCCACCTGCAACTACAAAGAAACATGAATTTTCAGGATTATCAGAGGGGTTTAGAGTTGTCATATTGTTGCCATTTTCAGCTGTAAAATATACTACCAGTTTGACAAAATCACGAAATCTTCAGAAAAATTCAGCGAGCTAACACTGTACCTTCACAAAAGCACAGATTGTGATAAAACATGAATATGATGAATAAAACAGAAATTTATTCCTAGTCTGGCAGAGAAAATGCACAAAATTTCTTTGCACAAAATGCACAAAAATCTAACTTTTGTTCCAGTTTGATGCTAAGCTGAATCTTTAGAACAAAATCTGCAGATTTTTTGCATTTTTGTAGCAGCTTGGTGCGGCAATCATAAAAGTGTGCTCAATAAACATAACTGGTCAATATATGTTATCATAAAAAAAAAAAAAAAAAAACAGAAAATTTTTAAACACTAAGTTTGGCCAAGTATGCATAACAGAATACTTCAGAACATGGGTAAATAATGCCTTTTCATTTCCTTTGATGTCTACTTTGAAATCTCCCACCATTATAATAGCAACATCTGTAGGCCACTTGGCAAAATAATATAAAATACAGAAAACATCACATAAACAAACTGACTGTCTACTAGATGACCTTGCCACTCACACACAGTTGTGCATGTGCATGAAGCTTTAATACCACCAAAATTTAGCTATTTTTTATGTGTTACTAAATGTATACCCTTTGTCCGATTTTTAAATCTCTTTGTGTCTTTGGTTATGTACTCTTTCGTGTATCTAATGATGTATTTAGAGTAATTGCAACATTTGTATTTTGGAAGATAAGCATTTGCACACACTTCAAACAGCGTCATAGATTTTGCTTTCCCATAAGACCATTATCGAGGAATGTAATCCTATGTTAGGAAGCTTTATCCCCTATGAAGAACATTACTTTCTAAAACCCTACTTCTGTAGAACCTGCCAATGAAGCCTCTTTTGTTTTAGCATTTGGCAAAAAGTTGCTGTATAAACTGGTAGTCATACAGCAATCATAACTACCAGTTTTTCAATTGTTTCCACACCTAACTAACTAATCCTTTCTTTTTTATGTGAAAAAAAAGGGTACCACAAAACATTCCTTCTTAGAAATCTGAAACCATAACTCAGAAACAAATTATATAGTAAAATTCAAGTTTCTGAATGAATGATAATATCCTACACTCCTGGAACATATAAACAGACAGCTTTCTAAGTAAACATAACGTCTGTGAATATCCACATATGATGTTGAAGCAAAATGTTCTTTTTTGAAATTTAAAAATGTATTACAGGATAACACACACTGCATGAAGGAATCCTGTACATCAATAAAATAAATGTACTTATTTTTGTCGAGCTTTCGCAGACCATCTGGCAGCTCAGCCAGTTCAAACTTAAATGGTTGTCCTGTTTCACCTCTTTTCTCATCTCCCCTGGAGCAAGAAAGGAAAGAGAGAAGTGAAGCAGCACACATTTAAAAGTCCAGCTCAGTGTTGTCCAGTCGGTGGCTCGCAGGCACATGGTAGCCCGGAATTCCATCTTTAGACCCCATCAGCCACAATAACAATATCGCCATGAGACAAAATCATTAACCCTGATAAAAAAACAATCATAAAAAACAAAATTGCAAAGCACGTACAGCAGCATTGCATCTGCATTTACCTACTTAGCTGTTATATAGACAAAGTTCACGCATTCCATACCTAGTACAACTTACATAAAAATGTTAGAAGTGCAGATGGTATGCATATAAATATTATAAAAGAAGTGAGATGATTCAGACATGAATAAGTTGCTAATGATGGATTGAAAAGTTATGTAAAGTTCTTAAGAAAAAAAATTTAACAACATTAAAATCAGATCCATGCATTTATAAAGATCAGTTAAACAATCCTAAGCAGTATATATAGATGATTTAATGGTTATCGCAAATTCAAGTTATAAAATAGATGACTTCATCTCTCAAACCTCTGAATCATTTGCCTTATGGGAAGCCATTAAAACACATGAACTTTTAGGAGCAGACATCAGGCAAGCATTTGGAAAACTTAATAAAGAAAACTATATAATTAAAATTTTAAAACGATTTTATATGAATTAATGTAAACCTGTCAAGACTACAAGAACATAGTGTTACAATCTTGATGATGCAGCATCTTTCTTCATCAGTATCAAAAAAAAATATCAAAAAAGCATTATGTTCACCAATATACAACAGATACAAGGCCAGACAGTTTTCACTGTTAGCAATTTGTCAAGATACAACAAAGCTCCTTCAGAAAAAGAGTGGAAAGCAGTAAAGAGGCTAATTAGATATTAAAAGAACAAAAAATGTATGTTCAGACAATGGAACATTAAATGCTACTTCAAATGCTAGCTAATGTACCACTGAAGATGGAAGTCCATTTGGAGATTATTTTATTAAATTACATAAAAAAAATTATAAATTAGAAATACAACAAAGAAAGATTAGTCACTCTGTCTACAATGGAAGCTGAATTGTTGGCATTCTGCAAGTGTGCAAGTGGAATTATTTGGTGCATCTATTTACTTGAAGAATTAAAACAAGATTATCTAATTGACAAAACAAGCTTTAAAAGATTGGAGAAAAGATCCAAAGTAGTAGTTCAAAGCAGATTAACCGAATATATTTCTTTGTAAAAGATGAATATGAAATGAACCAAATCATTTACCAATTTAGTTTTCCAATTTAGTTTTCATTTGTAGGTAACAAAGTTTCTGAAGGGTATAAGTTCTGTAGGTATAAGTTTCTGAAGAATGTAACATTATATGTTTTTTATTATCTCCCCCCCCAAGAAATGGAATTTTACTTTTGCTTCAAATATTAGTGCACTTAATTTCAACACAGCCCAATGCCTTAGCCCTATTTTTGCACATTCAAGACACTTTATTTAACCAGCAATCTCTAACTTGCATTTCTAGTCTGGCTAATAATGTCCGATCAAGTGCATTGGTTCTTTTTCCCTCATCATTGTTAAGCATGCTAAGAAAACTTCTAAATCAGCAGTTAAAATAAATTAATTTTCATATTGTAGAAATTTTTATTCAAAGTACCGCTGCAATAAATTTTTATAAAAGAAATAGTTTGCTTTGGTTTGGTTTATTTTAATTATTTCAAAGCACACTAGGGCTATCTGCCTAAGGGGTGGGATGCCTTGGTGGAGGACATTCTAAGAGAAACTGCCTCGTATACATGTTACAAACCACGAAAATACCCATGCAGCCAGCCCATTTACGGGATTTGAACCTCGGACCGAACTACCAGTGTTCAGCAACTTTACCACTCGGCCACTGGCGGGCCCATAAAAGAAATAGAAATGCCTGTCATGTCCATGCTCAGAAATATCCTTTAAGTAGATAAGCAAGGGTGCAATAAATAAAATTAATTTTTCCTCCAATAATGGGAAGACAGAGAATTCTGAATAAAATTTTTTGATAAGAACTGAACTACCTATTCATTCCGTGCATCTCAAATTAAAATTAAATGCATGCCAGACATGCAAATTCATACTGAAAACTGTTATATTAAAAAGTATTGGAATTATCATATAATTTTATCAAATACATTAGCAACCATTGAAGATGTTTACCATTGTGTGACTGTTATAATAATTATTACAGCAATTAAGCTACAATTATTATTATTATCATCAAAAACCCAAAGCAAGGCTCTGAAATTCTGTTGAAATAAATACACTACGGCAATGACATTCTGCTGGGAAAAAAAAAAAAAAAAAAAAATTAGCACCATCCTTTTCTTTTTTTTACTCAGATGGGAGAGGAAGAATAATCAACACAAATTGCCAAAAATTCAATAGATATTCTGCATTTATAATCTTTTAGTTTTTTTAGAATTCATATGATATTCATAATAGTACTGAATGAAAATTACTGTGATGATGATAGTTTCTTTCAGTACATTTGGATTCATATAATTTCATAAAAATAACTTGCGAAAAATATGACAAAGCATTGACAATAGCTTTTTTATTCATATAGTTTTCATAAAAATAACGTACAAAAGATAGCATACCCTTATGTCACCAAAATTATGTCTACTTTTAGACGGATACTGGCTGGGTTTGCTCTTAGAGAATTTAAAATTTATGAAAAATGAAATATAAGAGAACAGTACGCATTAGTAATATCAAAATCTGAAAAACAAAAGCAAAATTTAAGAAAGACAAGTGCAGAAGAAAATTAAGAAGGTTAAAATTTTAATTTGCAAAATAATGCACATGCATATGTGTAAATGACGGTTTGGCCACATCAACAGATCTACATGTCTCTGAAAAATTTCTCAGAAAACTTAGGCCAAGATTCAGAATCACAACTAAACCAGCAGTATAATTTCTTGGACTTTAAATTAAGCATCTTGAAGATAGAAGCATCAAAATTAGTTAGCAAGCTTATAAAAAATTCTTGAAAATTTTGGAAGACTGCAAACTAGTGTTAACTCCTATCCTGAAGGAATGTCTAACTGAAAAGAAAAATGAAGGTAAGCCAGAGAAATTTTCTCTTAGGAACTTTAATGTGTTTCATTTTAGATACAAGACCAGATTCAACATACTGTGTTGGCATTCTATCATGTCACCTTGGAAATCCTTCGTAACATAACTAGATCAAAATGAAACGTGTATACAGATACATCGCAGGTTCTCTTACTAAACATGTTGCATACAAGAATAAATACAAATCAGGAATAATGGAGTGTTATACTGACGTGGATTTTGGAGCCTGATAAGAAACAGGAATCATTATGCAGCAGACACCTACAGTAAAGCAAGTTGCTGACATAATGACTAAACCACTATTTGAAGAGAGACTTGATTCTTTGTGATAAGAAAGAACTCTTGTGACTTTCTAGTTTATGAAGTATCATTTTTGTTGCCAGCTTAGTTTTTATATCCTGGGACATCTTTCTTCCTCGAAGACATTTCTAATTTGGAAAATCTGTTCCTGCATGAAACAAGGCTCTACTGTATAAAAGCAGAGCATACATAAATTTCTACTTTAGTACAGTAATAAAATTTTGTAACTGCAAACTCGTATAATTTTTTTTTTTACCTCGAAAGTTAGTTGCATGTCATAAACATCATCTCATTATTACAGCTGCCAAAAGATAGTTCACCAGCTTCTGAATAACTGATATATTTTGCATTTCATCAGACAGATTAAATAATTTCTGATCATCTAACCATTCTAATATAGGATGAAACTAAGACAGCAAAAGCTTTGCTATTATGTAAAACATCACTGTGTATTCAAGTACTCCAAGTACCAATCATATAAAAAATACATCATTCATAGTAATATACAGCTTCTACCTGCAGGGTGGGTGAAAATTTGACATACATAGCTAACTTGAAGGTCATGAAACTTTAATTCATAATATTAAAATGCTTACCTCGTCGTAAGTATAATCTCTGTCAGTCCCAATCCAAGAGCTAGAAGAAATAAATGTTGAAATCTTAGGCTCCGCATCATCTTCTGTGGGTAGGAAAAAATACTGAGCACACATGTTCATAACATTCAGTAATAAAATCTATGTACTTAATGCATTGCAAGAACAAGAAAAAATTATGTGCAGAATTTAATTTTTTTCGCAAATCCTGGTAAAACACGGCACTTTTTAGGAGGGGGAGAAAAAAAAAAGGAATAGTCAGGTCAATCTAATGTAGAATAAGATAACACTCATTCAATACATATAATATGGTTTGACTACTTGTTTAAAGTTTCACAACTCTACAATTCCATTTACTTGCAGGTTCAGTTTTAGCATAATATACTTTCTAAATAAACTGAAAACGTATTTCTGCAATGAATAAATTAATTTAATAAACATAACTTAAAAGATGGTTAGATATCTTTTAAATCTATCAAAGAGAAAGTCCTATTACATTAATTTTCATAAGCTATTCAAACAGTTTTATTAAGATTTGAGAGAAGTTTTGGTTTATATAAATCATTTACAATTTATCAAAAGGGAAGCTTTCATTGTTGTCAAAAACAAAATAATACTTTTACTTATCATTGCAAGACATGCTAATCAGAACTCATATTACTTTGAAACTCTACTTATTTGATTTAATAGCACTGTTGCCTATGCAGCCTCTTAGATTTAACATCAATATTAGCAAATCTGCAAAGACTGAACAAAGAACTGATTGTTGACAAATTAGTCAACAATCAGTACAATACAGTTCTCTGATGTGAAATATTTCACCTAGAGCCATCACAAAAATAAAGGCTGTGCACTGTAATCAGTGACATGGTCCGTAAATGTAAATATCACAATTTTAATTATACTTTGCAACATATTATATATGAAATAAAGGTAGACAAGAATGCAAGGAATTTTAGCAACCCTTGTCATTCCAAAAATAAACCAAACAAAATAAATGAAAAGACACATTGATACAGTTATATCAAGACAAAGCAGATTACATTAAAAAATAGAATTCAGAAAATGAACTTTAATTCTAACAAGAATATATTATGAAATGTTGAAAATATACTCCAAGAAAAGTTGAATCTTTTAGTAATTTACATAGGAAAATGTTTTCCAGTGACGCTCAAAGAGCAACTAATGCCTGGCTGGCAAAAATCGCACATGAAAGAATCAAAGAAGTAACACACATAGCAACAGCATATGTACAAAAGTAAGTTCTCACATAAAAAATTGCATCATACTTTGATGGCACAATTTCATAAAGCAACATTATTATTGCTATGTATATGCAAATACACTACTCTCTTCACAGAAGTAATGACCTGACAGATTTAAGCCAATCTAGCAACATTCACATTTAAAATTTAATTTTAAATTGTTGAATATAAAAGTATAAATATGCAATTTCCACAACACATAAAACTTTTGTTCAATTTAATTGTTTGCCTTAGCTTTTGTAAAAAGAGAGATGCTAACTAATTCAACTAAGAACTTCCTGTATTACAAAAATAGGTTAATCCTCATTTGGAAACAATTTCCACAATGCAGCAATCTTTCGTTGAATTTAATTGTTTGCCTTAGCTTTTGCAAAAGCAGAGATGCTAACTAATTTAACTAAAAGTTTTCTGTATTACAAAAACAGGTTAATCCTCATTTTGGGGTATGAGTTTGGCGAATTTTGGAAATATATTTATTTGGAAACGGATATAACGGCAATAACTTAAATCCTAAATTCAAAACAAAATATAACACCTGTTGCAAATAATATCCAAAGGTCGCCAACCTCTTACCCTTATGCTAGAAACAAACACTTTTTAAACTATTATAAGACACACAGGGAAAAAGTCTTTTAGATAATGAAAAATGTCTAATTAGTATCTGAAAATGTAGTCAGTAATTCTTAAACGCAAATAGTACAGAAATACTTACATGTAAAAAATGTTTTTATTATTTGAGCCTTTTAATACAAAAATAAGACTTTAACCAGTTTTTGTACAACTGCTAAGTGCACAACTGCTAGTGTCACATTTTGTTTCAAAATTTTGTTCCATGGCCTTTTTTTGCTAATAAAAGTTGTCTATAAATATGTCACTATGCATGTGTTTAAGAACATCGAGGTTGTTGCTGTGTGAAATAGAAACACTGCATTAATAAACAATACAGATCACAAATGTATTACATTTCCTTGATGAAATAGAAGAAGAAAAAATATATGCATCATTTTTAATAAATACATAAATATTTTATTTTCTTGACATGCATAACTGAAAATAATGATTGCAAATTCTTAAAACATTTTTCAGAGCATAAAGTTACTATTTAGCAATGACAGAATGTAAAAAACAGCATTTTCATTACTTTGTACTTATTGTCTAATGTGTGTCATTTTACATTTGGACACAAACAACTAAATGTATGCCAAGATACATGCAGACACACACAATTAAAAAAGACAAATATTTTAAGAAAGAGAAACAGGAAGTATAATATGCTATGCCATTAACTTATTTTTTTTTTATATGTTTTGTTACTATTTCTGTGGGCAGATGGCACTACCTTCTTGCTTGTTTCATCTTTTTGCTTTTGGTATAAATACAACTCTCTTCTTTGCAGAACTTATTTTGTCCTTCTTTGATGGAGGGACCTGCACCTGTTGCCCTAGAAATCTTTGTGAAAATATACAGTAAACAGAAGGTTGTTACTTTGCCTGATTATATGCTTTACTTCAGTGTGTTTCTCCTATCTCTTGATGCTATCAGGAGTTGGCAGAAATGCATCTTCTGTATAAGTTAGGCGACTTGGCACCTCTATAAGAAGAAAACTACTAGGTTTCTTATGAGCAACTTTCTACTTTTGTGCAAAATCATTGGATCATTCTTCCCATATGAATAGCAGGAGATAAATATTAAGCTCATACACGTAAATAAATCCCATTTTCAAAATCTCAGCACTATTAACATGCTCGTTTCATTAGAAAAGTTGATCAAGTTGAAATTCTTCAATATGGACAGAGTTCCACACAGTTTAAATACTTTATATTCTAAAAGTTTGTTGCAAATTCACTTATTAAATATGTAAATGTTTAAAAGGTAAAAACAATGAAATGTTTACTGCTTTGGTGTTCTGCTTTCTTAAAGTGGCTGAGTATATAACCAAAGAAAAGCTGCATGCGACAGCCAAACTCAAAACACTTAGATCAGTAAAGTGTAATCTTCCCCATTTCCTAAGAAGTATGAACAGCATAACAGTATCATACTATTTGTTGCATTTCTGGAACCAGAGCTTGTATGGCTATAGTCGTAAAAATAATACTACACAGTTTCCCTTATAAAAGACTCTTAAGTAGACAGTCCTGATACTTTGCTGTGTTCAGTTATCAAAAGATTAGCCACTCTGATGCACACAGCAAACCTACACACTCAACATGTACCTAAAATTTCCATAGATAATCCTAATACGCATACACAAAATTTCTATAGTAAATTCAGTACCTTCTATGTTAAGTATTTTCCTGCACATAAAATATCAGCTCTTTTCTCTAGAAGCTCTTTAAAATGCAATATTTCACTTTGTTACGGTTCTAAATCCAGAAAATTCAGCTACCGATAGTGAAGAAAGTAAGAGAGAGGTTACTGAACGAGAAAAAATTTTGATTGACAAGTTATTCGGAATTCTCGACACAGCAATTACAGGACTTGAACAATGGAACTTAATAACTGAACAAGAAATTATATGTCTATAGTATTAGTCTAAAGATTTAGCAGAGAAAACAAATCAAACAACTCACATTGAAAGAAATGTTTAATAAAGTAAACATATAAATATTAAGCTCTTTTCTTTTGTAAATTTTGATACCCTTTAAATCATAAATGCTTCATTATTTCATAAATCACGATTTCATATTTTCAATTTTATAATTTCTACGTGCCATCTTAGTAGATTTAAAATGATCTAATATCCGGAAAAATCTCAAATCTGGGATCGCCGAAGTCCCGACGAGTTCAGACCTCGGACTTTGTACTGTGTGTATATATATATATATAATACGGAATGTATATTTTCAGTTAAACTTCTACCCAATAACTTTAGTAATTCATGAAAGTTAATTTTGCATTCAGGAAAATTAGTTTTAGTTGTTTTCAGCTTTAAAAATATTAAAAAATTTTTAATTAGTTATTTTCAACTAATAATTGTATCGCCATTAGCAAAAATTATGCATTACTATCAACAACATAGGTTTAAACCAAATACTTAATTGTCTATTGAAGCTTCAAAACGTATTTCCGAACTTCACTTTTTCTCGGCTAGCATTACCGAATTTGCTCTTGGCGACCTAAAATCGAAATGGAGCCAACAGATTTCCCGCGAAATCGATAACAGACACTCTGCAGAAATAAACTCATAATCCCGATATCGCATACATATAGTATGTGCAAAAGAGAATAAACTCCGTAGAAGGTGATAAAAAATTAATTTATGGCTTAATTGAAACAAACACAGAAGTTAAGCTAAGCAAAACCGTGTAAAAACAAATTGAAATGATAAAACGAAACTTAATTTTCATGTGAATTTTCAGCGCTGACTCTCCCATTCTAGAAATTTCAATTTGTTTCAGACAAAGACCACATTTAAGGATTGCCATCCATCAATATCCAGTCTTTGTAGTCAGCTTGATGAAGCCACAATTTATTGAAAATGCACTTTCCAGGCATCTTGTTCCTATTGGCATCGGAAGGGTTGTAGCCTTCCAGGTTAGGATTGCTCTAATTTTCGCAAATATTTTCAGAATCTCCCCCCCCCCTTTTTTTTCTCGAGCACTTTCATCATCACTTTCGCCTCTTAAAGAACTTCCGGCTTCACGCTTTCGTCACAGTCTGCCTAAATTTATGGATAACACCTGTTTCGAAAGATTGGGTGAAAAGCCAATCAGACACCGATACTTTCGTTCAGGTAGCTAATTTTTTTTTAATCGTTTGCAACGCAAATCCGCCAACAGATTGGTTAAGAGCCGTGTAATTTTAATTCCATATTCATGAAA